ATGTGTGTGTGTGTGTGTGTGTGTGTGCCTGTGACATTGTGCATAAATAGAACTGTGTGGGTTTGATTTAAAGTTTTGACTGATATGATTAAGAGTCAGACACCAGAAAAAGCAAAATAGGTAGACCTACATATATTGTAGGTAGCCTATAATTTTTAGAAAAATGAAAGTTTTTTTTCTGTCACCTGAAAAATGTTTCTTTCTAGGCTGATAGCACGTGATGAACAGCTTGCCAATGATACATTAAATAAAGTAATCATATGTCCAGTCTTTGACTTACAGAAACATTTATGTGGCATCGTGATGAAACCAAGCCCTCATCAAAATAATGAAAACAAATAAAAAGGCATTCTTCTGTCAGTTGGGTAATTTTTTTTCGAATTTTCCCTTTTTGGACGGCCATTTAAAAATACATTTACCGAAAAATGTTGATCAAAGGCACAAAAAATGAAAATTTGCAATTTTTAAGGATATTCAAGCTTAGAAGTCACCAAACTTTGGAAGCCATTTTCTCGATAATTTTGCATCTGACACCAGGCGACCTCCTCCTCGACAGTTGCAAATATCTCAACTTCTATTTAAGATATACGAATATTGTTTTCACCAAAAGCAAGACAAATAAAGAAACTTTAAGACGATACAAATAACATCTTAAGCCCAAAAATTGACAATAGCCCCTGATTCCACCACGTCATGACACGTATATGTATATAAGGAAATCATGTGTCGAGTTTGAGATTTACAAAAACATTACATTAAAGAAATCATGTGTCTAGTTTGAAAGTTACAGAAACATTACGTACAAAGAAATCATGTCTTGTCTAGTCTGAGATTTACAGAAACATTTAATTTTCTTTCAGTGGATAATCATGCTGCACTTGTCATCAAGGCAAACACCCTGACAGCTGGGGCAAGGTACCGTTTGAGTGCTCGGATGAAAATTGAGACTCGTGATGCCGAAGGCTGGGCATTCCAGATCATTCACATGAACAGTCCACCATTTCATGGCACCTGCTATACAACGCCACATGAGGGTATGTCATTATTTGGTTGGTTGGTGCGTGCACTGGTGTAGGTTATTGCTCCTTCTTTTTCTCATCAAATATCTATCTCATTATCTCTCCTTCTTTTTCTCATCAAATATCTATCTCATTATCTCTCCTTCTTTTTCTCATCAAATATCTATCTCATTATCTCTCCTTCTTTTTTTAATGTGTTTGTTACTCTCTTGTAACACCTCTGATCTTTGGCACTTATTGTTTTTGTTTTTTGTTTTTGTTTTTTATTTCTGTTAAAGTTTCTCCCTTTTCAATGAGTGAAATCTTTATTTTTTTTCTTGTGTTGTCCCTTTTCAGTGAGTGAAATCTTTATTTTTTTTCTTGTCTTTTTTCAGGGGGGGGGGGGGGTCAGAGGAGAAGTGAAAAGAAATACATGTCAATTTCAGGTGTTGTGGTGTCGTTAATGTTATCTTCTGTATTGTCATTATGCTTCTTCTTCTTCTTCTTCTTCTTTTTCTCCTCCTCCTCCTCCTCCTCTTCCTCCTCTTCCTCCTCCTCCTCCTCCTCCTCCTCCTCCTCCTTCTCCTTCTTATTCTTCTTTTATCATATTTTAGATGTTTCAACAATTTTGACTAACAAAGTAAAACCAAGACGTGCTATTAACTAAAGAAGTGAACATAACTAATTTGTTTCTCGTGTGCTCATATAATAACCTAATTCAGTTTCGAATGTTGTAAAACTTTTACCAAACTAAGCATCTTCCTCCTCCTCCTCCTCCTCCTCCTCCTCCTCCTCCTTCTTTTCTTGTTATTCTGCTATCTTTCAACTCCTTCATTCTAAACCCTTCCAGCCCCAGCCATTTTTGTGCACTCCCTAAACCCAGTCCTAGCCAATACAGCAGCATTTGAGAAAAAGAGGCATGAAGTTAAATTAGGTTCGCAGATTTTAAAAAATGCACAAATTCGGTACCCTCCGAAAATGAGAATATACGCTCTTGGGACCGTGGGATAGGTACAAGTGCTGCTAAAAATATACCCTCTTAGGGCTGGAAGGGATAATTCATTTCCACATCCTCCACCTCCCTGGCCTGTTTTCTCTCCTCCATGTTCTCCTTCTCATCCCCCTCCTCCCTCTCTCTTTCTTATTGTAGGTACCGTACTCTTAATATGTTTTTGATGAGGATTTGATTGTTTTGGTTGGGTGTATTTCGAAATATTGTTCAAATAGTGGTAATGTTTCTTCGGATCTACAACTTTTGATCTTCAAAATATCTTTATTGAAAACAGTTTAACATGCTGAGAACTTCTTCATTTTTGTTCCTTTTCATATCTTAAACTTATTTTGCTTCTTTGTTTCAACTTATATTCAGGCATCTTGACCATCTTTTTCCTTATTTATATGCTGAGGGCCTATACATTTTTGTTCCTTTTCATCCTGTTAATTTATTGTGTTTCTTTCTCTCTACTTGTATTCAGGCATCTTGACCTCCTTATTCCAAACGACGTGTAGCGGATGGCTGGATGACGGGTTTGAAGATAAGTATCGGACAGACAACAGACCATTTGCCCTCACCTACAAACACTACATCAAGAATGGCGAAGAGATAATCCCATTTTTTCAAGGAGGTTTTGGCCTTTCTCATTTTCTTTCCTTTACTAGTTTGGATGCATTAAAAAACTTGTTTTGCTTTTGAAAGAATGATCAAACAAAAAGAATCATAAGATAAGATAAGATAAGATATGATAAGATAAGATACATCTTTATTGTCCAGATCCTGGCACATTGGTTTGGAGTTTCACCACGTACACACATACACACACACACACACACACGCACACACACATGCACACATACGCAGTATGGTTGCACTCACAAACAGGCTCACAGTCACATGTATAACATAATTGAACAGTAATAAAATAATAATAATGTTAAGCTAGATACATACTCAGCATTCTGATTGTAACTCAATGGTGTTCTGATACATGCTCCATGGTCAATGGATACTTATAACAAGACGATTGAGATGGAAGAAGTTTTATGGATGATTGTAAGAATGACCTTCTGTATCTTTCTTTGTTACAGATCAGAAGCCTAGGTCTTTTACTTCTGAATTATATTTTTATTTGAGGAAAAAAAGGATGTTTGTTGTCCAAAAAGATGGAATTGCTTTTTCTAGTTCAAGTGATAATGTATAATTCATCGAAATATTGGACAACAATAGGACAACATTTGAAAAATACTGAAGTAATCCGTACTCAAAGACATGAATGGCCAGGCTGAGAAAGGTGCTTTAACTCTTTCCGGATGTAGTTTTTTGGGGGGTCTAGACATAATTAACCTGTGGCTCGCTTTGGCTATGCTGGTGGTGTACAACATAACTTTATAGGCATAACCATCACTCCAAACGTAACATACGATATATATATTAAATTGAAGGAAATTGAATGAGGAATACATCCCAATATAATACGAGGATAAATTTCGAACGTAAGTATGCATTAGACGGGTTAGAAATGGTAATGGTGACGAGAAAATTAATTTTGACAGAAAAAATTACATTCAATAAACATGTGAAAGCAAATCAGCATAGCTATCTTAACATATATACAAGACAAAAGAATAATCCATAAATTTCTGAGTGTGCACCTTTTTATTTGAAAGCAATAATCCAATTTTTGTTTGAGTTATGACCTTTACACTGGGTCCGCTTACGCCTACATTGTTTTATTGATGCAAGACCGCAAGAACTAATTCACTCGTTTTTCCCCAAACGCACGCTTTGACAAAGTGAAACTAGATGATTTCGTTTCCTATATCCTTTTCGAGTTTTTCAATAGCAATAAAAAGTAATTATAAATGATGGATCGTGTTAAAATGAAACAAAACTGAGGCACCCTATCACAGCCGATATATCGGCGATACGTCTGCGAGGGGTGTGGACTCGCGCTGATATATCAGTGATACGTTCGGAAAGAGTTAAAGAGAGAGATAAAAAATAGTGTTGTTAACATCATTTTTAAAATGTTTATTTTTAAAAATGATGTTTTAAAAGGAAGAACTTGAAAGCGTTAATGTGTAAAAAGAAATGATATTTTGAAGAAAATGAGTGATTTAGTTTCTTCTCTTCTTCAAGATTAAATTCAACATTTTCAAAATGAAAATGAAGCTGCAAATGGGCAGAGAGAAGTAACAGGCTAAAATGTTGTATCATCATCATCATTGCCTTTCTCACCCTGCCCCAGGGTACAGGCCACGGACAAACACCTTCCACCTTTCTCTATCCTAGGCTAGCCTCTTGATGTTATTCCATGTCTTCCCACTTTTCTGTACATCGATTTCTGTGATTCTTCTTCAGGTTTCACGCGCTCTTCCCCTTGATCTCTTACCCTGTGGGTTCCAATCCAAAACTTTCTTTGTTATGCAGCTGCCTGACTTCTTGAGAGTAAATGTTGTATATACTCACCTATATACGAGTGGTTTTCTAATGATATCTCTCATGTATTATACAAGTGACATACACCCAGGTTTGGGTCCAAAAAATTGAAAGTAATGCTGCCGAAACTAATGTGCCGGTGAGTCGCTGGCAGTGACTATGGAACATTCCTTTACGACGACTTCGACGTCAAATTGTTTTTTTTAGCAGTTGCCGTAAACATGTCCCTTTTACTGAGAATTTTTTCATTAGATGAAGTACAATCAAAACAGATTCAGTTATTTTGATTTAATGACCAATTGAGCCTAGTTAATGTATATGTCACTTTTAGATTTCGTACCAAAAGAGGGCCCCAGCAAAGTGGGTTCACACACACACACACACACACACACACACACACACACACACACACACACACATACATACACACACACTCACACACACACACACAGAGAGAGAGAGAGAGAGAGAGAGAGAGAGAGAGAGAGAGAGAGAGAGAGAGAGAGAGAGAGAGAGAGAGAGAGAGAGAGAGAGAGAGGGAGAGAAGGAGAGAGAGGGAGAGAGAGAGAAATGATACTTTGTTGGCCCAGTGGGGTGTCTATGAACTGCTTAATATAAGACTCTTGTCATACGTCATTTGGAAAAGTGATGTATGATGGAATCTTTAACTGATCAGTCGATATGGTATGGTGTTTTTAACAATTTTCAGAATTCTTATATTTATCTCATTATGATATGGTGTATTTCTGTTGAGCAGTTTGAATTCTAATTTTAAGAACTGTCAAATTGACGCCTTTTTTTATTGTATGACAGGTGAAGCCACTAGCCCTAGAAGCAAACTTCCCATATTGTCTGATGATAATAGTGGTCAATACCAGATAATCACTCGGATCTACGACGTACAGGAAGACTATGCTGAGGTTATGCATACTATACAGGTTGGTAAATGGGGAGGGGGAGGAGGGAGGGCGGAGGAGAGGATCCAAGGAGGAAGAGGAGGAGGAGGAGGAGGAGGGAATTGTTCATTTTTGCTGGTTTTGTAAAACTTAGACATAGTCGAACTTGCTGTAAATGCCACCTGTATAAGACAATCGTCTGTACAAGCTATCACTTCCCATTATCATCATTGCATATTTTTTACATTATAATGACTCGTCCAAGATGGCCACCCGTCCAAGACGGCCACTATCCTCCTCAACAATGGGTGGCCATCTTAGTCTTAGACAATTTCAGCTGACATTTTAAAAGCAGATACATATATATATATATATATCTTGGTTCTTCATCAGACCAGCGGGTTGACTGGTAAAATAACTTATGAAAGACAACCAAAATTTAAATCCCAGTTGAGTTGCAACTTATTGGCTTAGTTTTTACAATCCTTGCTTGTGTGCACACATTGTGCCTTTTTAAAAATACCTCTTCTGCTGAATGGATCATTATGTCAGATGTGGAAATTTTCAACAGGGAGGAAAAAGGGGGAAAGGGTCCATTGTAGATGGACATTGAATTCAGAGGTTGTACTTCTAATAAAACCACACTGTGTTGAAAGTGGTAGCCTACTATGTCTACATTTTACCATGCTCTTCCAGATCATAACAGTGGGTGGTTGGTGGGTGTTCTGGTCTAATTTGCTCCTTCTTCCTTATCAAATATTTATCGTCCTTATCTCCCCTCTTTCTTTTTTATGTTTGTTACTCTCTTGCATCACCTCTAATCTCAGGCACTTATTATATGACCGTATTGAGCTGCAAGTTCTGAAAAGTGCTTTCTAAAACAAGGCCATGACAGGAAGATTGTATTCCCCAGATAACCGTTACCAGTAGGAGTCTAGAAGAAGCGGCCGAGCAGGTGGCCACCGATAAGCCGACAGACTACGCCTTCGAAAAGAGTTCACTGAAGAAGCAACTTCTTGAAACCGTATTCTCTGCTGTTGTGCTACAGGCTGTGGTTTGTTTTTTTAAATTAATTTTTGTTTTTATAGAATCCTCCTGTATATATATGTGTGTGTGTGTGTGTGTGTGTGTGTGTATGTGTATGAGTGTGTGTGTGGGTATGCGTGCCTTGTGAAAAGTACCGTATGACGCATTTTGAAGAAATGCATTTTGTTGCATTTAATAGTGCAAAAGTCATTTCTGAACAACATGCTTGAAACATTTTTAAGATACCTTCAGTAGTCCCTGAGATCTGGTTAATATTGTCAGGTAGAGTGCAGTAACAAAGTTTGATAAAAATGGCTTTTAAGTTTTCCTCAGATTTTGATCGAGTTCTACTCCTAATGAATATCTGTTGTTTGTCTCCAAAACCTTTGAAAACAGTGTTACTACGTAAAACCCAACTTTAAAAAAGCAGTTTAAGACTATAGAACAGTTTTAAGATGACATATAAAAAAACATCCTCAAAAATTCATTTTTAACGTAGAATAAACATGAAACCTTTTAAATATTGGTAGATAAATGGCTAAAGAATAAGTCTTTAATGGAACTCAATTTTTTTTTTTGTAAAATATATTTTTGACTTTCTTTTTCCTGTGTCTCAGTTTGAGTAAATGTGGTTTACAGTACCTTTCACCAAGCACACACATACACACATACACACACGCGCACACACACACACACACACACACACACACACACACACACACACACACACACATATAATATATGTGTCAGATGGGTCAGGGTATGAGTAAATGGAGTGGTTCATATATAGACTTTGGTGGATCCGATTGGTCAGGGTATGAGTGAGTGGAGTGGTTCAGAGTAGCAAGTAGATTGGGTTGACAAGTTATCATGGCCATACAAATGTAATCTCCTTTGTGTTGAGGGAAGGGTTGTGTCTAATATGAAGAAAGTTGACCTCGTATCTTTTGTTTTTTGCTCTTTGGTTACATTTAGGGTTTATTGGGAGGGGGGGGGGGAATCATCAAAACAAACAGCTTAAAAGGTATCTTAAAATCAGATTTACTTTTCCAATTTGGTCTTGACCTATTGCCAGCATTGCACAGGACTGCCTGTACCCTTTCGTTTTTTCCCCTGTCTAACGACTGCTCATCCGAATATTTTCAGTTGGGGAGAAACTTGACCTCCTTCGGACAAAGCATGATTTGTTCAACTTCAAATCTCACAAGTGAAAGTTATGATCCAGCGGTTCTTCTGGTAAGTGAAATCAGTCTATCTTTGTGCTGTTGAACATGTTCTAATGGCCTAGACTGTCACCTGTGCAAAAGACCACTTCAGTCATGCATAGTTTCAGCTTGTGGCTGTATGTGCACATGTATTTTTGAAGCTCTGCTGACAACACAAAAATGGCTCTAACTTTGCAAATAATAATAATTTTTTTACAATGAAATATGACGTGAAGATCGAGAGTAGATTGAATAACTAGACATATAAAATAGTTCCTTTGTAATTGATACGTTAATGATCACATGGTTCTCAAATTTGACGGGTTATTTTTGCTGTTTAATTTTGCTCCTTATCGGTTGTTGTTTTTCTATATTATAATGACACCGTCCAAGGCATCCACTTAAGACAACCGCTTTTCTCCTCAGTAACGGGTGACCATCTTTTTGTGTAATTTGATCTGCACATAGATCACAGATGGCTGAAATTAGAATGTTTTGTTCACAGTGATTTATGAGATGTACCAATATGTGTCAAAGCATCAAATTTGGAAACCACTTCACTCTATATTATACCACCTTAATGGATCTACAAGTATGATACAGCAGGACTTGTAGTAAAGAATTTAACATAGATATTTATGCATTGAAGTGTAGTTACCCAATAAATGTATAGTTAGTGGTTACTTTAGCAAAATTCAATATAAGCATGAAAACATATTATTCTTGTCCTGTTATTTGTTTGATTTGCTATCAAATTTGTCTCTCAGATATATTATGAGTCAAAGACCATGACAAGGAAGAAAACGTAAATAATTAATAAATTCTGTAGGAATTGACATTTATGCCCTGTCATTGCAGCCTGAGGAGTCAATCTTTGAAAAGATCAAGGTCATGGAGGAGAATCAAAAGAAACAGGATACCAAAAAACAGGAGCTGTCCCAGGTATACTTGAGTCATTCCTGTTTACATCTACCCACCCTCCTCAATGTTTTCTGGGGCAATAACAGTTATAAAGTGTATAGAGCATGCTGCAGAGCGTGGATATATGCCATGTAAATGCACTTATTATTGTTATTATTTTTTTAAATATTTTTAATCCCTTGCCCATTTATATGAGATTGGTGCCATTTGATTAGTAGAAAAAAGTGTGTGTGATAGTGTGCAAAAGTGTATTACGTGCATACTTCGTATGACATGTAACTGTTACAGATAGAGATTCAAGCATTTTCGATGTAAGTTAATGATCTGAGAGCAATGATGATTTTAGAAAAAAAGGGGATGATTGCGTTTAAGTAATGTAAGTAATGATAGCGTTAGTCCTATCTTCCTCTGCTCCAATGAGTCACGATGGGCGTTGGCACTCTTTATCCCGTTCCCTACTGAAACCATCTTTACGGTCACCGTAAAGTTCTGAAATGGTGGGCACAGTCTCTTCTAAGGTGACATTGTTAGTGTTACCCTATTCTATAGGCGTCGGTGGCTAAGTGGTTAGGCTCTTGGACTCGCAACCGTTAGGTCGTGGGTTCGAATCCCGTCAGGGGCCCGACGTTGTGCCCTTGGGAAAGGCACTTTGCACAAATTTTCCTCACTTCACCCAGGTGGAAATGGGTACCCGGCTATAGACAGTGAACGATCTTGTCAGTTTGATAGTGTTTGAGCGCGTGAAATCCGCAGCTTGCACTGTATGCTTCCGCGGAAGCCAAGTATGTTAATGAGTGTTCTCAGAGGGTCTGCTGGGGTAATAATAGTTGTAAAGCGCATAGAGCATGCTCTTGAGCATGGATATGCGCAATATAAATGCAATTATTATTATTATTATTATTATTATTATTATTTTTATTATTGTTATTACATCCTCCCCACTTGGGAACTGAATTGCCATCTTTTGCATGTTGAGTAATAAGCACAATAAACATTACACCACAGATGCATATTAATTGGCTGAGTAAAATTAAGATATAATGGAGGCCAGTTCTTTCTCGAGCTACATAGCAAAGTGGGTGGGTGGTTGGTGGATGCTGAAGTGTGGTTTGCTCCTTCTTTCCTATCAAACATCTATCATCTTTATCTCTCCTTCTTCTTTTCTTTGTATGTTACTCTCAACTAGTAACATCTCTAATATTTGGCACTTATTTAACCGTTGATGGCCCAGTGGTTAGGCTACCGGACTCGTAATTGTGAGGTTGCGGGGTCGGGGGTTTGAGCCGCGGGCTCGACATTGTGTCCTTGGGAAAGACACTTTACATGAATGTTCCTCACTTCACCCAGGTGGAAATGGGTACCAAGCCTTAGACAGCTAAAGATCTTGTCAGTATGTGAGTGTTTTAGCGCTTATAGATGTCTGCTTGTACTGTATGCTTCCCAGGAAGTTGAGTTTGTTTCAGAATGCTCTCAGGTCTACTGGGGTAATAGTATAGATTGTGAAGCGTATAGAGCTTGCTGTTGAGCGGGGATTTGCGCTATACAAATGCTATCTATTTTATTTGTGTTGCAGGTTCTGTAAAACTCTTATTAAAACTTTTAAAAATTGTTAGGGTAGAATTCAAGGACGGAAGACATCTGAAATATTATGATGTGTCTTTTTGACATAGTAGTATGCAATAAACCTTATAAAATCTAAATTACTAAAGTAGGATTTGAAGAAGAAAGGTATCTTTGCTATTTAAAATTTGAATTTTTGACAGGAAATGAGGAAACTGATAAATCAAGTTCAGGGAAGACGCCACGACTATGAAGACCTTGATGGGTATGGCATTGAGGCTCTAGGAGAGACTCTGTACTCAGTGATGTATTCTGATCACAATATTGATCTAGAAACAGCAGTAAGTATTGATCATCATTATCTACTCCACTTGAATATTCCATCATCATCCTCATCCTCATCATCATAATTGTTTTACAGCAGAAAAAGTACTGGAGACTTGAAAATAATTTTAATAAAATGTTGGATGTTTCGTCAATTTAGGCTTCTTCAGGAGCTAGTTTCTAAAAAAAAAAAAAAGAAGCCATAGCAACAAAGCATTCAATAGATGTTTTGTAATTGTGTGTTCTAGACAACATCGGAAAAAGCATAGGTTCAGAAAAAGAAAAGCTAACTGGTCACTGGAATTGGCTTTGCCAAGGTCCTGGCTTAGCCTACAGATACGTTTAAATTAATCACACATAGTCCTGAGAGCTCATGCAGATCTTGATACTACAGTTATGCTGAATGGAATTATTCGGAAGGCAAATAATTAATATTCTGAGCAAGGATAAAATGCCTCGGGAACAACGAAACATTTTAAAAAATTTAGGTCCTCAACAAGTCTGCCAAGAACTAACTGTGCCACACTGGCCTGCGGATAGAGCGAGGGAACAGACTACTTCATCGAATGTTAATGATTCTGGGCAGTTGGCAGGTGTACTGGTGTGGTTTGCTCCTTCTATCCTATCAAACATCTATAGGCCTTATAATCTCCTTTCCTTCTTTCTTGAGTTTGTTATTGTCTTGTAACACCTCTAATCTTAGACACTTACATGACCTCATTGTGTTGCAAGTGCTGTAAATTTCTTACCTGAATAAAGTACAGTCGAACCTATGTAAGACGGCCACCCATTGTCAAGGAGAAAAGTGGCTGTATAGGACAGGTGGCTGTCTTAGGCAGGACTGATCAAGATGAAGAAAACGAACAATTCCTTTCTGAGGTCCCAACCGAAGGTAGCCGCATTGTTGTTGTTGGTTATTGTTGTAGTTTTCGCTTGGGTTTTTTTCTCGTTTTTTTTTCTTTTGTTGCTTCTTTTGTGCATGGGTGACAATAAAACGAAATGTGTCAGACACTGTGGACCGAGTGCCATGGTAAAGCAAACACATGGGTAGCCACCACTCGGAGAACGAGCGACGCTTCTGTCGCAAGTTCATGTTGACGTCCATTGTTACTTTGTTACAGACTGGGTAAATAGTGACCACTCATCTCACGTACAATTTGTGTGTGAGTTCTGGGTGGGGCTTATGGGTTATGAGGGATCACACGCTTACCTCTGAAAATTTGTTACCGATTGGTCAACAGTGGTAGGGGCCTACGCAACTCGACCTGTAAGAGAGACTACCTAACAATAACGACAGGTGATAAGATATGACGGCTTGCCCACAACGCCAGGGGCCAATGCATGATTTATGACAAAATGTAATGGAGTCACTAAGGTGGCCGTCTAAGACAGGTATTATAGCTCGGTGTGATAAGGGTTGTGTGTTAAAATATGTTGGCCGCGGCCGCGTTGGACAGGTGCCCGTTTTACACAGTTAAATTATATAGAAAAAACGCAAGGGGGGGAATAGAAAGTGGCCGTTTGTGCAGGTGGCCGTCTTATAGAGGTGGCCATCAGGGCAGGTTCTACTGTATGTTACTGTTTTGTAAGGCAAATTGTTTTGAAGTTTTGAAAGAAAGGAAGACCACTTCATGACAAACAACCCAATGAGAAAAACTGAGCTGATCGGGAGAACTGACAACCGTAGGAAGTAATGGCCCGGGGTACCGTGATCATTAATGTCTTCTCCAGATACTGACACTGAAGAAGAAGGAGACAAAGATAATGATAACAATAAGAAGAAGAATTGCGTTTTTGTAGCCCATTTCCACAATATACAGCATGATTTATACACGTTGCAAGTATAAGATGATCATGAGTTATAATTTGTTTTATGTAAAACCAACTTCAAACTTTTCTGCTAGAATCGGACTCATTGGCTGTAGCGGAAGCCGCAAGTTATTTTAACCTTTATTTCTTGCTTTTTTCTTTTTCTCTTAACAAAATACTATCCTCTGCAGATGCACTGTGTGACGGCTGTCTATTGTCTCACATTACAAAAAGATTAAAGCTTGTAAAGACGACGAAACACAACTTCTTTGCTCGCCTACCTGCCGGAAAACTGATTTATTGTTTTTCTTTTACAATGAGATCTCGTGTGTTCAAAACGAGACAATATGAGTCATGGCAAGAAGGGGAAATAATCGTGATATCATCAAAGAATCGTAATTGCAACATTCGCAACATAGTTCATTCCCGTTTTTACATTTCAAAACAACAGTCATTTCACACTGGATATCATCAGACTAACACTGATGGACAAACTGTTATTATTGTTCTATTATTATTGTTAATATTATTATCATTTTTAAAAAAAAAAATATGTGAGGCAGCGTGGTGGAATCAGGCGCTCGTCAAAATAATGGAATCAGAGAAATATGCATTTTTCCGTGGGTTTTGCAATTTTTTTCAAATGTTTCTTTTTTGGTTCAACACTTTTTAAATCTGTTGAAAAATACATTTCTGTGAAGATTTCAATGGAAAAAAGTTGATAAAAGGCACACAAATATATTTTTATTTCTTTCCATGGTCTCTCAAGCTCTATAATACACCTGATTATGGCAGCCATTTTCTCGCTGATTTTACCTCTAAAATCAGGCGACCCCCACCTCCTTCAATTATTGCAAATATCTTGACTTCTTTTCAAGATAGAAGAGTACTTCTTTTATCACAAGCAATACAAATGAACAAGCTTTATAAACGTACCTAAAACTCAATACACCCAAAAAATGACCAGCGCCTGATTCCACAACGTTGTAACACATATTATTGTTACTATTATTATCATTACTATCATTATTATTACTATCATTATCACTATCATTATCATTATTTTTATATTATTATTATTATTATCATCATCAACATCATTAATGTTGTTGTTGTTGTTATTTTTTAGCAAATCAAATGCATTGAGATCAATTCTTCTTTGCTGACTGATTTTTCCTGCAGGACATAGGATCAGATGTAGCTGAAGAAGGGGCACTCAAGCTGTTGAACCTGTCCAGTGCGTCCATCTTTCCTATAGGCGACAAACTTGATGAGGTTGTAGCTGGTGAGTTTTTCTCTTGTTTGGTGGTCTAGTGGATAGGTTGTTGGGTTGTTAACCATAAGGTCATGGAATCAAACCTTAATATATCGTCGTCAGAGAATTCTAACCGTCTAACTCCAAATTTTCTCGAATTGTTTTTTTCCTTAAAATAGATTGACATAACGAATGGCTACGTCCTATTAAAATCTAGAACAATTTTGACAAACAAAAGTCTTGTTTTAAAGAGAAATTCTAACCGTATATCCCGACTGACTTCCGTGACTGAAGAATTTTAACCGTCTAACTCGTTTAGGTAGTCCGCCATTGTGGATCACGGCGATAACGTTATGCTCTGAAGGAGGCGTTTGATTTTAAATAAATGTAAAATCAGAAAAAGGTTGCTTTTGTTAAAGGGTTGGTTGACTGTGTCGAGCCTGTGGAGAAAAAGGAGAGAGAAAGCAGAAGATCGTGGTCCATGAAGTATCATCTGCGAGTGAATGGGGCCAGAGTCAAAGAGTGCACGCTTTTTTTCTTAAGTCCTGTACTTTGTTACTAATGTGTTCACATTGTTCTCACATGTGGGTTGGGTGTAGTAGAGGGTGAGGTTCCAGTTCAGAGAAAAAGGGTTAGGGGGGAGACTACAGCATCAAAGGTACTGAAACAGTTTCTTCGTGATCTGCCCAAGTTGCCATCTCACTATTGCTGAAGGACTCCAGTAAGTTATACTTGGAACCTGTTTTCCAGAGCTTACAGGCAGTGTACCGCCGTTTGTATAAAGAAAAGTATGAGTTGGGGGGGGGGGGGGGGTACTTTCTACCTTCAAGTTTAAAGAGAAGATCAATGCTATGAACCTGTCATGGTTCCATCCTCGAAAAGATAGGTGTGATCTTTGTGTGGGCTTTGAGGAGGGGAATGTGGAAGAGGGGGGCATACAAAAAAGACAATAGACAAGGAAAAATGCATGGGCAGCCCCAAAATCAAATACATGTACATCAAAATGGACCAGCAATCAGTTCTGCTATATCCACGCACCAATGCTTCTGCTTTGTACTACAAGACGAAATTGAATGTACACAATTTCACAGTATAGAAACTAGAGAGCAAGGACTGTATATGTTATGTCTCAAATGAATGCGAAGGTGCTCTGACTGCAAATAAATTTGCTCCTTGTGTGGCTGATTTTTTGTCATCTGATTTGACTCCAGATCATTATATTCAGATGGATGTGGTTGTATCAGAACTGCAAAGTCACAATGAGTTCTGCACTGTTACATTTCAGCTCTGTCAATGGTAAAACTGTAACATTAAAATTCCTGGAGAAGGGCTATACACAGATGGAGTTGGACAGTGCTCACAGCATATATACTACCCAGCTGATTATGTCAGGCTAATGGAAGAAAGTAGGAAAGTGAAGCCATATGTAGTCAAGTATTTGACTCATTGTATCTTTTCTGATTTCATCAAACTAACCAACCAGAGTTTACACACCAGATGGTCAAATTAAATACAAACTGAGATTTGATGATGACTGGTCACATCTGCTTTTGAAGCGTGGCGAGTCCACAGACATTCTCCATAAAGACATGAAGGGACTGCCTCCCTACCAGGGTAGATAGTTTAATTCGTCCATAGAGAACTTTAATAACACATGCAAGAAATGAAGTCTGTTGTGCCATCTGACTACCACAAGTTCTATGACAATCTAGAATTGAGTACGTCACCAGTGCGCAAGTCAAAACCCACGGTTAAGTCTAATTTGATATGCAGTGTATTGTGTTTTGGTTTATGTAGTTTATTTTTAGCCAACCAGAGCTTTAGCTTCATTGGGTAGAGCATTTTAAAGCCTCATAATGGTGTTTGGACAAGAGGATAATTCATTCCTGTTGACACTGGATGCTGCTATGGCAAACCTCATCTTGATGACTTTCTTTGTAAAATGTGTTATTTAATTAGGCCATACATTAGTTGGGGATGCATTATATGAGGTTTAGTTGAGCTTTAAAAAAATCATATTACTTCTAGAGTCTTCCAACCAAGTTAAACCATGTTTTTAGAGTTAGAAGCATTTCAGTTTCTTCCACTGGAGAACTGATGGGTCGCTTTTCAATCTTGCTCGACTTTGCCGGTGATGCTGCTGTTGTCGCTCATAATGAATCAACGCTACAAATAATCCTGTGTTTAAGAAGATTGAGATGGTTGGGCCATGTCAAGAGAATGGACGACAACCGGATTCCGAAGCAATTTCTCTATGGACAACTTGCCCAGGGAAAGGGACCAAGGGGAAGGTCAAAACTGAGGTACAAAGACATCTGCAAAAACAGATTATCTAAGCTTGGAGTAGATGTCAGCATCTGTGAAGAAATAACCGAGGACAGGAAAACATGGAGGAAAATGATAAATGAAAGAACTATTATGCTAGTGACTAGAGAGCAAGCACTGCGACAGAATCTGTACTTCAAACAGGAAAAATTAGCCATAAAAGAAGCTCCATGAAGACAATTCGTTTACGGAAATTCTTCTCTGCCCCCCCCCTCTCTCTCTCTCTCTCTCTCTCTCTCTCTCTCTCTCTCTCTCTCTCTCTCTCTCTCTCTCTGTCTCTCTCTCTCTCTCTCTCTCTCTCTTGTAGCTAGACAAGAAACCAATCCTTCTCACAATTTCCTTGAGAATGGAGGATCAAATAGATCTAGTAGCTTTATAGTAAAAACTTAACGACGCACTCAATCTGTCGACAAGCCCATTGCCTAATTAGAATTATGTGGAAATAAAGTGCGACGTTCAGTTTTAGATATAATAAAACAGTATTATTGTTAGATTCTAGATCTACAGTACTATGTAGTACTAATTAGAACTTTTATAGTAGGCTTCCTGTTGGATTGACTGCAGGTGTAGTCATTTCGAGTTGTTCGGTAACACTAACGTGTCACGATGACTGAGTTAGACGTAACGAAGCGCATGGCGTCCCCGCCGGGTTGGAGAATTCTAAACGAACAATTCGTTCGTCGACACTTGGACGGTTAGAAATCCAAAACTGAGCGGTCTATCCGTACAACTCTGGTTTAGCACTTAAAATAATAAAATTTCGGCAATTTTGTTTTAAATACTTAAAAGTAGAGTCATGTATTCCAGTCTAGCGCATTTAAAGATAGTAAATCCCCATAGGAGCCTTTGATTTCAGTTTTTTGTCTCTCCTGCAAAATTTACGAAATCGGAGTTGGACGGTTAGAATTCTCCGCCGACGATATTTGTAGTTTCTTGATTTACACAGTGCCCATTTGGCACAGTAATAGCCCTTAGTTAGGATCTGATGTTGTTGAGCAAAAAAAACAAAAATTCCATAAAAATGGATGAACTGGCGAAAAAATGATTGTTTTTCAGATTTCTGTTTTTTGACAAGCGCTTGATTTTACCACAATACCTGATATTTATTCATGTTTGTGAGGGAGGGAAGAAGATGATGGATCAGTGAGGCTGGAAATGAGCAGGTAATACAGAAGAGAGGTGGGAGGTTGGGAGTTTATATTTCAATGTTTTGACAGAGATATTGTTCTTTAAGAGAGAGAGAGAGAGAGAGAGAGAGAGAGAGAGAGAGAGAGAGAGACAGAGAGACAGAGAGACAGAGAGACAGAGAGACAGAGAGACAGAGAGACAGAAACTGTTGTGATATAGTCAGTTATAAATCTGACCTAGAAGCAGAGGACCCAGAGAATTATTTATCTCATTGTGCTAAAAAAGCACAAATTAAATCCGAATTCATGATACCCCCCTCTCCTATCCCCTCCCCTCAATCCCATCCCTTGCCCTCACCCCCATCTCCTCCCCCCCCCCCCCCCCCACCATCACCCCATAGGTCTGATTGGAGCACTGGACAAAACCTTGGCCCGTACTACACCAGATTTCCACCACACTTACCTGCACGTTGAAATATGCACAGAAGGACTCAATGCCGAGGAGAAGCTTTACTTTCAAAAGCGAATTATGGATGAGCGAATGGCTTTGAATAAACAGAGAACACAAGCAGTGAGATTTGAGTTTGGAGAGAGGAGTGGATATGGTTTAATGACATAATATGCTTGCTCTTATTCTCCTACATGTACTTTTTTATTTCTCTGTCTGTCTGTCTGTCTGTCTGTCTGTCTGTCTGTCTGTCTGTCTGTCTGTCTGTCAATTTGAGTGTGCCTCTCTGAGTGTCTCTCTCTGTCTTTTTCTTCCTCTCTTTCTTCCTCTCTTTCTTTCTCTCTTTCTACCTATCTTTATCTTTCTCTTGTGTGAGTGGGCATCTCTGTGTTTATCTCTCTTTCTCTCTCTGTCTCTCTCTCTCTCTCTCTCTCTCAGAGTCTTTCTCTTTTTCACTATCTCTCTCTTTCTGGCACTTTATGAAGTTGGTCCTTTCAGAGATGGATATTAAACTTGGAGGTCCCACCACTTCAATAACCTAATAAGGCAGTGTTGATAAGGACTTTAAACCTATACCAAAATCACATTTCACTTTACTATGATGGCACTGATAGAACGAGATGGGGTGTTTTACTTCTTTTTTCATACAGGCCCAAACGACGGTGCCGAAAGTAGAGGACATCATTACCTACCTGTGGAAGGTGATGCTCAGTAGTGAGGTGATGGGCCAACATATGAAGAAAGCATTCAAAAAGGACCTCGCACTGGCCACTGCTAAGATCAGTGCTCGTGCTGTAAAAGGTCTCCATTTTGCTGGTCGGGATTGCTCCATTATTTTCAAGGCCGAGTTCAACCAGTCTGAGAATGATAATCGGAATTTGAATGTTAAGGTACGATTTCTCTCTTCTTGGTTCATTGATAACCCCTTCGCTATTTATCTATATGACGTACGCTGTTTGTAATTTTTTATTATATGGCGAAGGAGCAAAGATTTGTCATGCCTTGCACAGTGCAAGAATCATGATGACGAATGCTATTTGTTCTAGGCTGTATTCTGCATATTGCATCTATTAGATACATTTCATAAAACTAATTGAAGATTCACATTCAACGATATTTTTTCTGTACAAAGAAATTGTTTCCTCTTAGAGATAGTTTGTAGTATTTACAAATCAGGTCTAATTATAGGCAATTGACCCCTAAATTCAGCATTACTCTTTGTTGCTGGCTCTTAGAGATAGTTTGTAGTATTTACAAATCAGGTCTAATTATAGGCAATTGACCCCTAAATTCAGCGTTACTCTTTGTTGCTGGCTCTTAGAGATAGTTTGTAGTATTTACAAATCAGGTCTAATTATAGGCAATTGACCCCTAAATTCAGCGTAACTCTTTGTTGCTGGGGACCCAGAACTGCCTGGTGAAGCACGAACTGACCCTCTGCCACAAAGGGGTTAAACCCTGCATTTATTACAAAGTTGCAGTAATGTGCTACAAGAGTTTAACTCTTGTCCTGCGTCTGTGCCGAGATGCGAATCTTATCAGCAACCGATTACGTCGGGTGTGCCGGGCAGGCCGCAGGGGTCATTCAGTGTGTACTGTTGGTGCACATCGTGCGTGCCAGGAAACGTGTGTTTTCGCCATGAATACCGTGGTAGTGTGTTAATCGATGATAAAAATAACGCTCTATCTTTCATAGCTTTCCATTTATAAAGTGTTTCAAACACATGAATAACCCCCTCTCTCAAGCTGATAAGACATTACGAGTAGTTACGCCCATTCGAATAACTTTTCTGGACGCTCATGTTGTTCTGAATGACCTGAGGTTCGAAAGGGGATAATATAGGTCAATTTACGAATGTTTTACACTCAAATTGTTCTTTGTACCTGCACAATGGTATTCAAAACTATCAAACAAGGTTATTTTTTATCAAGTAGTATCATTTCATACAAAATCAAGCTCATTTGAAAGATTTTGTATAGAAAAATTGAAGTCTTGTTTCCTGACTATCCTTTCGCGCTCCTCATGTCTAAGTGGGTCAATTTCTTCTATAATTCCATTGGACGAACATCTAGAGCTACCAACTTGGCGTGTTTTGAAAGATACGTATGCCTCGATTACATACCACCGCAGGCAGTTCTAGAAGAAGGCCACAAACACTCACAAACTCAAGCAGACTGACGCACACACACTTGACCTGCGTGAATGGGGATCTGACTCGGGACCCGAATTTCACACAAGATGACGTGTGGTGCGCGTGCGCTGAGCCGGGGGCTACACTGATTCGGGACCAGAACGTACACGGCTGTTCCACTCAGGATCACTTAGTTGCCAGCCGACCTGACCTCCGAGACGAGGTCACGTCCCGGCGACGCTACCTGCAGGCGCTCGGCCTCGCGGTCAGCGGCTCCCCCGCGATGTAATGTTTTGTACACATAAAACAACACCAGTTCTTATGAAAGCGGAGAAAGTCCATGAAACAACAACCAAATGATCACAGGAAGATGAAGGTGTAGTTTACGACAGTATAATTTTTATCACGGAGAAGTAAAAGAAAGTGATGTTTAAAAGAGGAGGAATGTGGCTTTCATCATAGATTGGTTATTACAAACAAACATGTTTTTAAAAAAATTATTAAAAATGAACTGACCGACAGATTGTTACAGTCTTCATTTCCAGCTCAGAGTCAGACTTTGAACTTTCAAACACACTTACGTTTATGAGGTACGACAAAAAAGTCTTGTTGCTATTGTTGATTAATGCGCACAGTCTTGTCAATGAGTGGGAAAACAGTTGAGTCCAGCCAACGCACGAGTACATTTCACATGAGATTGAAGACCGTTCCTTACACCTTCACAGTTGAATTTATGTTACTATAGTCAATAATTTGATAAACATACTACTATAAAACTATTTAGGAACTAAGGTTTTATCTGTGAATGGTCTGAATCGTCTAAATTGTCTTGTTGTCTTGTTTACTTTTTTCTGCGTTTTTCCGCTGGCTCAGGGAGTGTGGCCTTCAAATCTGAAGATGTCTGTTGTCGGTGTGCTTCCAACACAGCTTTAAGTTATTTTTGTTTGCTTTTTATGCCGACTGTTCTCTTTTCCACTCTGGCGATTGTGGCATGGAGCATTTCCCCCCCTTGTTCGCCCAGCATGCCAAGGCCAAAGCCCTAGGCTTTCATAAATGGCAGGCAATGGCCCTTTCCACAGAAAGTCAATTAAAATCTCCAGGATATCCCGTAATCTACATCTATCGATATTTACAACTGTTTCTAGAAGAAACCGCATAAAAGCTGAAATAAAGTGAAACTATACCAACAACTCACTATGCTCACAATCAGAGATTTAAAGATTTCTAATTACTTTGTGCAGCACCAGGACTTGCTACACAATAGAGGGAGACAACAGTTTCGATACCCATTCTTCACTGAGTTACCGTAGACTCTACTTGTGTAGTAGATAGGCTCGCCGAAACTTGGATCAAATTTTTAGCTTGCACGAAATTGGTGCTGCGAAGAGCAGTTTCATGCACCTTTCTTCTTGTACAGGAAGAACGATGCCTAGATTTCTCTACAGTGACAAAAATAACTTTATTGCAAAGATTTTGCTTGCTCCCAGCAGACAATACCGCAAGTGGTGCGACGAGCAAAAACCATCCTCGCCGTCTGTCTCTTCACTGGTGGAGGCAGCGGATGACGGATTGCAAGGATGTAGTAAGGTAGATTTAGAGCACTGACTGTTAGGTGGAGCGCTTGCACCAATTTCACCAATGGCGCCCCGCAACTGAACCGGACTGTTGCGTGTCTGAGAGCCCAACCACTAGGCCAGCGACGCCACTTTGTAATGTAAAATATATGGACGGGAAGAAGTGGGAAGTGGCTGTTTGTACGGGTGATTGTCTTATGCGGGTGGATGTTTAGAGCTGATTCAACTGTATTTAACTTTCTCCTCAGATGAGTGAAGTAAGGAAGAACCCTTACACATATGCTGAGGATGATAGTGCCCATGATATATCACCACCAGTGGTCTCTTGGCAGTTGGAAGATGAGGAGGGACACCTCCACTCAGCGGGCAAGGAACTCTCATTCAACTGCACGAGGCCCATATCAAATGGTTCTATAGGGTGAGAGAGAGAGAGAGAGAGAGAGAGAGAGAGAGAGAGAGAGAGAGAGAGAGGGAGAGAGAGAGAGAGAGAGAGACAGACAGAGAGAGAGAGAGAGACAGAGAGAGAGAGATAAAAAGACAGACAGACACACATAAAGAGAGAGAAAGTGAGATAGACAGAGAAAGAGACAGGCAGACACACAGACAGACACACAGACAGACAGACAGACACCCAGACAGACAGACAGATTAATCCTATTCCAGCTGATGAGGTAGTCTTAATTACGACCTGAAACATGAGAAAGCCCAAGTCTCGTATTTTAGTTGTTTCCTTATTCTTCTCCTTCTTACTGCAATAAGTTTCTCACAACAGCATGGAAATGTTTTGTTGGGCTTAACCCTAGAAGCGCTCAGCATTTCACCGGAAGTAACCCGCCAAAAATGCCCCGCCGCCACGGCCGATCAGTTGTAAACATGGGGGTTTGGCGGGGGGGAAACAGCTGAGATACCCGAAATGTATACCTGCTACTGAAAAATGACCATTTACGGCTCAACGGATGATAAAAGCATATAAAAGCATATATTTTCTTTAAGCTGATAGAATGAGCCATTCAAAAATGATCAGCGATCAAATAAATACAAACAATGCCGAGAACGCGATAGACTCAACAATTAGTACATCAGCACGGCGAAACAAGTGATAACACATAGCGTGTAGTCGCTCAGCGGGACCGCGTCACTTTATCGATCGATATCTCGGCCAAGAGACGCTCTACGAGGTCAAGATAACTTGCAAAGTCATTGGTCACTATTTATAACTTTGGCCTGTAATTGACTACGTCATTTTCCATATAAGGAACACTGGAATTTTCCATTGAAAAGGGTCAGCGTCTATGCCCTTTATATAGGGCCTGCGCGCTTCCCGGTCGAAGTAGGTCAGCCCTATATATAGGGCGTGCGCGCTTCCCGGGTAGCCTGGCTCACGCCCTTTATATAGGGCCTGCGCGCTTCCAGGGTTAAAATGTCAATCTCTCAGTTGAAGTGTCTGGCAGATTTTTTAAAAAAAATTTTTCTTTTGCTGGAAAAAGTGTATTACATCGCGGTGAAATCAGGCGCTTGTCAAAATAATGAAATCGAAGAAATCAACATTTTTCTTAGCTTTTATGTCCTTTTAAAATCAAATTCTTATGTGGATTTTACTTTGGAGGCCGTTTTCCTGTTAATATTACCTGTGGCACTTGGCGAACCCCACCTCCTTCAATTGCAAATATCCCGACTTCTATTCAAGATAGATGGGTATCTTTTTCATCAAAAGTGAGATGAATCAACAAGCTTTAAGATTATAATATGTGTCTTGACGCTGTGGAACCAGGTGCTCGTCAGTTTGGGGGCATAAGGAGTTAGTGATATCACCTTGAAAGCTTGTTCATTTGTTTCCCTTTTGGTGAAAAAAAATACCCATTCATCTTGAATAGAAGTTGAGATATTGATGATTGATGGAGGTTGGGGTCACCTGGATTCATAGATAAAATTACCGAGAAAATGAGCGTCAAAGTTTGGTGACTCCCAAAGTTCTGGAGTTCTTGGAAACTGCTAATTTACATTTTTGTACCTTAAATCAACATTTTTTAGTAAAACCCCCACAGAAATGTGTTTTTAAATAGACCTTCAAGGTGTTGAGTCAGAAAACAAAAATTGGATCAAAATAGCCAAACGCACATAAAAATGCCAGTTTCTTCGATTTCATTATTTTGATGAGTGCCTGGTTTCATCACAATTCCTCACAATTGAAGAATGGATGGAAAATGCCAGTTTCTTTAGTTCTATTTTTTTTTATGAGTGCCTGATTTTGCCAGGATTCTACATACATATATATTACGAATACCTCCAGCCCAAAAATTGATGAGCACCTGATTTCACCATGCCATGACAGAATTGTCTTCTCTGTCCTCAGAGTATTTTCTGTGAATAAGACAAGGCAAGGAGAAGAAGGATTATGTCATCACAAGTTCCAGCTGAAGAAAGACTCTGAGGTCATTTTTGTCTTTGTTGACATAGGGAACAAGACTACCAATTTGACCGGCTATTTTAGGTTTGTGTGGAATTCATACTATAATTTTCCTTCATATTTTCCTGCAAAAGGTTTTGTTTGCTTTCTATACCATAACTATTACATTGAAAAACTCATTGTGGTTTGCTCCTTCTTTCCCATCAAACATCTCTTGTCCTCATTTCCCTTCCTTTTCCTTTTATCTTGCTCCCTAGTAACAGCTCTTTTTTTTTTGTAAGTTATGCAGCGCTCACAACTGCATAAGGTCATAAGAGTGTGCGGGATACAGTAAGCATTTTATGTTCGATAGGAATTACAGGGCTGCCTAAATCTACAGATTTTTACGGTAGATACTGATTTTGGGCCTGTTCTACCACCATACCGATAAGGTGTCAAAACTACTGGATTTGCGATGGATGCCGAAAGAAGAAAAAAAGCAACCCATTCTGCAGTGCTTCCTTTCTTCTTTGTTTTTCCGGAAATCCGTACATTCTGAAAGTTTCGTATTTGCCGCATTATCATATCACTTTCTTGCGTTAGAGAGAGAGAGAGAGAGAGAGAGAGAGAGAGAGAGAGAGAGAGAGAGAGAGAGAGAGAGAGAGAGAGAGAGAGAGAGAGAGAGAGAGATCAGCACTTGCCTCGGTAACTTGCCAGATACTTACGGCAACTCTCGGTGGATAGCATATTTTGTACACTCCACCATTGTCTATCTATTCCGTTTGGTCGGCAATAGTTTTTCACGTGCATATCAGCTAAAATCTGTCTACTCACGATAGATAATCTTCCTCCTTCCTTTCATTCATTCTTCCTCTCTGTCTATCTTCTGGTTTTTGCTGTGGCTGGAAAATCTGTTCATTTAATTCATTTATCTAGAAAATATAATTGTGAATGTAGAAAGAAAATCGATATCGAAGCAAAACATTCTAAAATATGTCTTGGTCTAGAGAATTGGTCAGTAAGTACCAAATGAGGATTCTACGCATGGGGACTGCTGGAATCTGAAAAAAACAAATCGCTGAGGCCGGAGAAAATGCACAAAGTCCTCGAAACCAAATTTGAAAAGGCTACTGAGTTCATATTTTACCAGTCGCATTTGTGATATTACTTTCGGCTCTCCCCAGTCCGAGAGTACGTTTCACGCGAATAAGCAGCTATGGCGGCAGGCGAAAGTGTAGGTGTAGTACTGAGACTCCATTGGGAAAATCAAAATCTGCTTTCGCTTTCGTTACCGCTCAGAATTGTCTGATGATAGTTTGTTAACGTTAGATTTACAGTTAATAAAAATTTGTAACATGCTGTTTGTGAATAAATAACACAGTATCGCCATACAAATTAAATCGATATTCTCACTGCTGTCACTATAATGACAAAAAAAGAAAAGAAAACGAAAACAAGCGTCCTCCAATTTCTAGATTGTCGGGTCCGTCATCGTGACCGGTCAGTGAACCTGTGAGCGTTGGCTCATGTGAGTACGGCATGAGAAAAGGGACGCTGGCGGTGTTTGGAGCTTTGCAGGGCTTCAGAGTTGAGTCTAGGTGTTTGACGCAATAAAGTCTACGACAGCAGGAAAGGCCGCGGTGCAAGAAACTGATGCTAAAATAAGAACGATAAATGGAAGTGGTTTTGACATTCGACAATCGAGTGCGTAAATGAGGGAACATTATAGCACAGGCTTGATGATTGAATCTTCAAGGTTGGTGTTCCCGGATTTGTCGGATTTGTCAGTGATGACAAATTGAATAGTGGCAATGAGGAAATGCCATTTCAACCCCTCGGAAAGCTCAATGTTGGATGCCAATGCATCATGATGGCTTGTTGATGATTAAAAACTGGTACTGTGATTTAGAATTTTGAAAAAAAATCAATACTTAGTCCATGATGCAGTGATTCACTGATTGCCAGGTTTTCAGCATCACTACATCCCACGCTCTCACAGTCCTTCCAGCTCCGGCTCTCAGTACACGCTCTCTTTTATTTTCACTTTTTGCTCTGCCGTAAGCCTAACTATAAAGGTTTTATAAATTAGTTTTGTCTTGCATGCTTTTTAAAATACGTGACTGCTGAAACCAAACATGGTTTTGGCAGTTGATGTTCTTCTTGCCTCTCCTCAGGCCCAGATCAGGATTCATTTTGTATTTTTAGGGTAAGACTAGTTAAAATTAATTGTCTATCATACGTAAGTCACAAAAGACTTATCAGTGTCCTATGCTAGTGACGGGAAATATGTTTTTATTTAAGTTCTATTGATATGGGCTAGGGGTTTTGAAGTCATTTTGGCAATCACCCTGCACTCAATTCCTGATTCAGTACTGAATGATACGTGCCTTGAACGATAGTCCATAAATGCTTTAAAAAAAAAACCTCGTCTCATTTCATACACACTGTTCATCTTAACTTGTGCACACCCAAACACCCCTTCCCCTCCCCACATAGATAAACACACGCGAGAGCATGCGCATATGCACACACAGACACACACACACACACACACACACATGTACATGCGCAAACAAGTTTTCAAAATATAATTACCCAATATCACGGAAAGCAAGCGCGTTTGATGGGGCAACGATCATCTTTTTTTTCCTTCTTTGTCTTTGTACTACCTGATTTGGGGCCAAACTACCTGAAACTGACCCTGAATCTACCTGAAATGGGAACTTTGAGGTAGGCAGCCCTGGAATTAATTTTAAATTTTGCTCGGGTGGCAGCTGAAACCCACTCTTATGTATTTTAGGACCACCAAGAAATCTTCAACGCACGCAACTTGCACACGCGACCTCCAATATTTTTTCGCTGTTTTTTGAGACAGCTAGATGCTAGATCTTACCTACCCTAAGATCAGGGGTGTGGCTCAAAGACAGCAGTTAAAAGGAGCCAAGGAGTAGCAGTAGAAAGGCAGCAGAAAGAGTTAGGAGCCCAGAGGAGGGGGCAAAGGGAGAGGGGGAGGGGGCTGAAAGTGGAGTCGAAAACAGACGACAGAACATGTTTACAGAGATGGAAAGGAGGTGGAAGGAGAAGATTGAGAGAAGAAAATTTTCTTTCGCTGTCAGGTTTCGAAACCGAGACCAAGTAAATGAGAGGAGAACACTGTACCTCTAGACTGTGTGAGCCTTCTGTAGCACCTCTAATCTTTGACACTTGTATGACCTGTCTTTGTCGCAAGTGCCGTAAAACTCTTACTTTAAACTAAACGTAAAACACACTGTAGGAGCAGTCATGTGATGTTTTCTATTTCTATGCATCAAGGTACGACGAAGCACCAACGACGTACGGTAGCAATGTGGTGAAGCTTGCGTCTGAACCTGTGGTGGGAGACCTAAGTATGAATGGGTCCGGTAAAAGTTTTGTCAACAGATTCTTCGTAAAGCCGTTGACCTTCAAGAGAGGCCTCATCTATGTTGGTTTGGCTATTCCTGGTTAGTACTTGGCTTGTGAATGTAGATATGTCAGTTTGATCCCAATACATACACACACTTACATACGTTATACAAACACTCACTGATGATTACACACACACAGACAATTGTGCGCGCACGCGCACACACACACACACACACACACA